CCCCATCCCAGTGTGGCTTCTTGCCCAGTTCCTTTCCATGTGGAGCCAAGAAAACCTCACTCAAGGAGAAAAAAAAATTAATGGAGAATGATGCGAAAGGGAGGGATGGCTCTCATATTGGGGTTTTAGGCTCTATACCATCCAGGAATGTAGCAGAAGGGGACCGTATAATGGGGAGGGGGGGGGGGGGGGGGGGGAAGAGAGAGAGACAAAAATTGGCAACACATGGCTGTTTCTTATCCTATAGCCTAGTAAATAGGTCTTTCATGCGGGGCCAGTTGCCATGGCAACAAACATGCAGGAAATATTCCAGATAACTAGAATAGTGGCAAAAACATGTGTTTTGGATAAAACAACCTTCCCCCTCCCTTCTCCCATGCTTTATTCATTTGGGCTGCTCAGCACAAGCTTGTCTTTCAGGGCAGACACCTTTCTTGTGTCTGAAAGGGGTCAGAGGCCAATTCTTGCTGCAACTCAGAAGATGAGACCCATTTTTTTTCTCCAGGGGAGGAAAAAGGAAATATGAGAGAGAAAGAATGTGAGAGAAGAGGGAGGTGTTTTTTCTTTTTCTTTTTTCCTGGAGCCCCTGTCTTTGGATAAAATTGGACAAAGATGCTTCAAACTTTCAACAGAATTCTTCTGCCCCTTCACAGAGAACTAGAGATGCTGATCTTTTCTGGCCTATGTTGGCCAAGCTTGAGTTCAGTTTTAGAATCCAGAATGATCATGGGTGAATTGTGTATGGGAATGTCAATTGTTCTCGAAGAAGAGATAGAGGAAGTTAATCATTATCAAATAGAAAATTGGGATAAGCTAAGCTGGTATTTTGGATAGTCTTTATGGTCTTCAGTAGTAGAACAATCTGAATCCTCCATGATAGTTTTTCCATGGCCTGAGGAAAGTGAGATGCCAAACCTGCCTCTTATATCCACAAAAACTGACTGGATTGCCTGCTGAAACCTTTTTTTCCCCCAACCTTTATGATAGAACTGTATCATCTGAGGACAACAGGCTAGCTTAGAAATCATAGAGTAAGCTATATTGCCATCATCCAACGTGTACTGGATGGGATGATTGGCTCATTCAGTCTAATGACAGATCACACTCCTTGGATTCTCTGCCGTATTAGGCATCACTTAGCTGCTAAGAGCTTCACAAGTATGGAGCTCATGAACTTGGATGGTATGATGTCATTGGACAAAGTGGGGCCAAGGACTGTGTGATTCCAATAACAATTATATGAAACAGCATGATAACCTGTTCTTTCTTCTCACTGCAGATGAAACTGTGAAGGTATCTTACCACTTTATTGCCATTTCAGACTGATGAGACACCAGGAACCAAAGAAAGATTCTTTCAGATCTTTTCTATAGGACTGATGGCATAGACCATTGACTGGCCATTCCTTGCAGAGGCTGTTAATTAATTGTTAAAGAAAGAGTATGTTTGCTATAGGTACAGAATAATTTAAAAACTATTTACTCAGAAAAAATCCCATGCACTTCAATCAATTTTGCTATGAAAGATGTCAATGAAATTCTGTGAGAGAGACCCCATATTAGCAAATGAGCAGGAGCACTGCAACGTTTTAGTTGTTAAAAAAAGAAAACCTCCATCCTTCACCAGCCTGTACAATATAACCTCTATCTAGTGAATTCGGTTTGGTGAATTTTTCTTCTTCCCAATTTTGAAAGAAAAATCTCATGGAAAGAACAACAGAATGGAAATTAGTTTCCAGATGCAAATATTTAAATATTTATTACTTACCCACATATTCATTCTCTCAGACGGTTGCATAAGGATCAGACAACTTTAGTACTGTGTTTCCTTCTTCTCTCTCAGTTCTTTCTATTTTAGCCCCAAATAAGACTTTGCTGGGTTCTCTCCTGCTAGTCTTAAGTATTCACATAAATTCTACAAACTTGGTCCAGAGGAATGGCTTAATGTTGCGATATTACTGAAGCAAAACCAACCAAAGTCTGGTCAATGACACGGGTGGGAAACCACTGAGAGCTCACTGAAAGACCTGCAACTGTAATAAGTTTTTTTTTTAAAATCCATCTGTTACACATTTACTGTTTACACAACAAACAAGTATGATAAAAGCCACACCAAACAGCTGTTTAATAACCATAAACAAACAAAGCATATAAGTAGGTATGCAACTAATTCCTGAGTGCGTTTCTGGTGTTTGTGAATTTAACTGCATTAAAAATCCACATGGTTGGCCGTGGTCCAGCCCAACTGACTATAAACAGAAATACTGATTATTACAAAATGTTTGATTGGGGACCAAGGGCTTTCATTCTCTCTCCTGCCTGTTCCATATTTGCATCCCCTTCCCAAGTAAAAATACAAGCATCTCCACAAGGATCAGAAACAGCGTTCTGTTTGAGGGTGGGTGGCAAGAACCTTACAGGTAGGCTATGCCTCAAAACTCTGGAAAACTCTCAGTTTGCAAGTGTGAAGGGCTTCTGCTGAAGAGTTATCATTTCAAAAGAGTCCTCAGGTCCAACTTAGCCTTCTCCTTCTCCCCTTGGGTCCTATGTTCATCCTATAGCTATTCCCAACACACTCTTCCATGTGTATCTTCATAATGCTTTATCTGGGGCAGGAGGACTTGGCTACAGGAATTCACACCCTCACCACCACTCAATGAGACTATTGCAATGCATTCTACTTGGGGCTGCCCTTAAAGAGTATTGGGAAACTCGTCCAACATGCAGCTGCCCACATACCTTCTGGCTCCTGGCATCAGAAGCATATAACACCATTTTTGAAGACCCTGCATTGTTCACCAGTTGGTTTCCAGGCCCATTTTAAGATGCTGGTTTCGACCTATAAAGCCCTTCAAAGATTGGCAGCTCAAGACCCATAGGACCATCTACTCCAGTTATCATTAACCCAACCAATTAAATTTACCAGGAGAAACTGCTATAAAACCCATACTTTGGGGAGGTTCAGAGGGCTGATGTAAGGAGGCACTACTTTTATGTGATGGTGCCAATGCTGTGGAACAGCCTCCCTGTGGAAAACAGGCTAATTCCCCCTCTGTTGTTTTTTTGGAAACTTTTGAAGACTGAGCTGTTTTGGAGACCCTTCCCCTGATTTGATGTCACCATTTTGTTTTTATTTTTTTGTGATTTTACTGCAGTGTTTATTGTTATGTTTTTATTTTGTACTGTGGATGTTGCAGGTCAAACCTTTTCTGTGTAAGTTGCCAAGAGCCTTTGATTGGAGCAGCACAAAAATATGTTTAATAAACAAGTATCATACAAATGGCAAAATCCCAGTTAGCAGATATGAGTAATTCCCATGCAGAAGAAAAAAGAAAATGGACTACCAAGACAATAAGTCCACATTTCTCTGCTTTTCCCCCCCTTAGATAAAACCACTTGCTTCCTTGCTGGGTATGATGATAGCAACACCATTATGGGCCAAAGGAAGAGGGGTTAGGGAGAACCTCCACCTGTAGCTAATGTTTATCAGATGGCATCATTGAAGCTCTTTTCATTGATCTGGAGCCCAATCCTCATGCCTTTGATCAAGCACAACCCAGCAACATTCTTTGGCAGAAACCATGGATGCTTGCTTCAATAAAGCATGATTTAGATGCTGAAGTGATGACACCCCTTTAAAAACAGGCATGCAGGGGGAATGTTGCAGGCAAGGTCTGTCTGCAAAAAATCTTTGTCGCCAATAGAGAGCAGCTAAATACTGATCCATTTTGCTTTATTCCAGTTTTAATATTCTGATATCCTGCAGTTATTTCGGACTGTTTTAGTTGCGTTGATTAGGAATTATAGGGATGATCTTCAAGGCATCCAGTTTGGACAAGACTACATTATTCCACTCCAATTTGAAGTTTCCATTCCAGAATCACTCTTTTAAAGTTAGTGGCTGATGCTCCTATCAGTGATTACAGCATCTGAACTTGGCCAATAGAGATTTCTATTCTAGCTATTGGAGCAGTACATTCTCCTTGTTGATCTGTTTCCCAAAGTCAGGAAATATAGATTTAGTCTTCTACTGGGTTTTTCAGTTAACACAAGTATGTCTTCTATCCAGCACCTGTCAGCCCTTTGAGGAAGTCCTGACAAGAAGCGCCTACCTTTACTGTAAGTTACAGTAACAGAATCTTGCAAGTCTGAAAGTACCTCTCCCCTCCCTTCTTTCTACTCTCCCAAAAAACTAGGGAGGTCCCTCCTGGGATGCTTTCTGCACTCCCTACCCTCCTTTGGACTCAGATTTCATTTATCAGACCGTTGTCTAGGCTGCAGCTCTTCTGTCTGTCTCGCAAGCTCATTCCCACATACCTTTACAGCATCTCTGAGGGAAGATCCACATTTTCTGCTTGGCCCATTGCAGTTACAGGTCACTCACCACTTCCTCAGTGCAGGAACGGATGATGGTGTCCTCTTCTTACTCCCAGCCCATTGCAAAAGCAGCCCGCACTCATGTTTTCCAGCTTTGATTGAAAACTGCTATTTTCTGACACGAGCTGTCTTAAGCCCTTCAGAGTGGGTGGTCTCCAGTGCTTCATTCTGGTCCAGTAGCAGCTCAGCTCCAACTCTCTGCAGTGCCTGGCATCTCCTTCCCCTTAGTGGCTGGTCACTGTCCTCAGCTGTTGGGCAGCTATGTTCTCTGCTACTTTGTTTCTACGAGGTTGAACAATC